CAGTTTAAAACACTTGCCAGGCCATGGTGCTTCTCCATTTCAAGCTTGTACTGCCTTCCACTCACCTGGAGTGAAAGCTTGGTCCATGAACACGGTAGGCTCTTCTTAGGGTCTTTGCCATGTGCCACAAAGTCCATCTTCTAGAATACTGGGCCATGTGCCACACGCTCAAATTTTCTTTGTGTCTTTACTCAAATTTCCTCTTTTCAGTGATGTCCAAACACACCCCCTGCTTTCAATCTCTAACTCCCCAAATAGCCTTCTTATTTCTTTGGATAATTGGACATATGTTCATATATCACCTTTTAAAATATCAGTTTCATGTTTTTTTCTTAATTGTTGTCATTTTCCCCTGTAGAGTCTAAGCTCCACACAGGTGACCATTCTGCCACTTGTATTCCCCACTACAGCACGTGTTCCTACAACAGCATGTAGCTCATAGTCAGTATCCAACAAACTCTTCCCTGCTTATGATTTGCTCAGTGTGACATCTTCCCACTTCACTGAAACACATGTTAAACTGGTAGTTTATTAGAAATAGAATCCAGTGACTTCAGTCAGGCAGCATCCAAGCAACAGATCTAGACATCACCATTAGGGCTGTTTGTGCTTCTGCCTCTTTTTTTCTGTGTGTATGGCAATGTATTAAGAGCAGATCATCCACATGAGGCAGAACCATGGAGTGCTTTGCACAGTATCTGGGACATGGTGAGTGTTATTGACTTTGAAGTATAATTTTTCAGTTGATTTGCTGAGCCATGGTGCCTTCCCTGACACTGGATGATATGCATGGTGTCATGGAGCTAGATCTGGCTCTGGCTCTGGATGGGCAACTGGATATACTTATAGCTTGCTAAATTATCTTCCTATTGATTTGAAAAATACCTGGGATCAGAAGCTCAAAAGAAGAAATATTTCTAATGTGTAATGGGTTAGTGTTGCTCATCTCCACCTTACCATCTAAATATTCAGTCATCTCTCACAGTAGTGCCTTTACCTGGGGATGACAACTTTAACACATGAATTTGTTCTAGACATCTTCCAAACACTGAAGTAAATTCCTGAGACAAATCAACCAATAAAAATGGAAGTTGAACTAAACGCCACAGTTTAGAAATTTCAGTCTTTTGACTGCTCTGTTGAATTGGAGCCTGTAGGAAGACAGCAGTATAGCAAACATGGATAAAATACTAAGAAAAAGACAAAGCAAAGACACACAAATCTGTGACAAAGATATATTACCCTTTAATATTATAATGTTTATTGATGTTTATCATGTTTATCGATGTTGTCCTTGTTTGGATAACATTATGTGAACTTAGCAATTTGTTATTTACATATTTAGGAATGGGTGTGTGTGTGTGTGTGTGTGTGTGTGTGTGTGTGTGTGTATGTATGTGTGTGTGTGTGTGTGTGTGTGTGTGTGTGTGTGTGTGGACATTTAAAGAAACAGACACCATGAATTAAGGGAAAGAAAGCAGAGAAAAGAGATGCAATTGATTTAATTATGTATTAATTTACGAAAATAAAAAAGAAAAAGTTTCATGAAGTGATAAAATCATCAGAACTCATACCTTAGGGATAGTATCAGGTGCAATGAGAATGTGATGAGGACATTTTAAAACTTCAACTTCTATGACATTAGATAACATAACACCTAATTAATGTGTGGAGCCTGAGGGCTGATAATCCCTGACTTGAGGCCATCAAATGTTTCTCATGGACAAAGAAGGAACTGAGGATAAACTGCCTTGGGGATTCATAAGAATGGACCACACAGAGTGTCAATATTCCTGCTTACCAAGAGAATAATGAAAACAAAGTTCCCTAGAGAAGATCAAGAAGAACAGGAATGTGTGACTACATATAATTGAAAGGACCAAGAAGACTCCATAACAGGCTGCTTGGTCTTTTCTCAGAGATCAGGGCTCAATTTCAGTTTCCTGAGACTTGAGCAAGCAGTTTCTGGAAGGACTATGACATAGTCCTTGCAGTAGCTCCCTTTCTGCACAAACTCTCATTGCTCAAGGGTCAGCCAGTTGTTTATTGTCTGGGAACACTCACCAACCCACCAACATGGGTCAATGTGAACGTTCAAGGCCAACCAGCCTCCATGGCAGCTCAAGGACAGAACCTGGGACTTGTCCAGGCCTGCCCCAAAATGATAATTGTAACCCCCAACCAGTAAATTTAAAGGTTATATACCCTCACCCAATCATATGACTCCAAGGCTTGTACCACCCTGCTTGTGATTTTTCCCTTTAAAAACCTTTTACCCTGAGAGCTCAGGGTTGCCCTTCTCCACCCACTGTGTGAGATGTTGGATGCGGACCATGCCCAGGTTTGCTTGTTATCAATAAATCCCTTTGTGTTTTGCATCAGATATTGGCTCTGTGGTGGTCTTTCTCAGGGTCTCATGATGTGGCTACAACATTGTAGATGAATTGTTTATTTTCTACATATTAAAGCCATAACTCAGTACCTTAGAATGTGAAACGGGGTCTTTCAAGAGTTAGATGTCAATTAATATAATTCAGGTGGATCTTAATCCAGTGTGACTGGATTCATTTAAAGAAAATGAGAAGATCCACACAGACAGGATGAGGTAAGATCATGTGTATGAAGACAGATCAAGAAGGCACAGTTTACAACAGGAGAGACATCGCAGAAGAAAGCAGCTCAGTAGATGTCTTGATCACTCGATTCCAGCTTCCAGAACTGTGAGGAAATGAATGTCTATGGTTTTGGCCTCCAGCCTGGGGTACATTGCCATGTTACCCCTAGCAACAGAACACAGCCACTGGTAAGACAAAATAATAGTACAGACTCTCAAAGAAGCAGCACTCAGTGAGAAGACTGAGGTCAGATGAGGAAGAACTGGAGGACAGAATGAGGAAACTAAGTGAGAAGGAATGGTGGCTGAGCCTCACCAGAGACACTTCCCTCATGGCCCTGTCACTGGCCTGCATGTCAGCCTCTCTCTCAGGTAGTGAGCAGAGAGTGCTGAGCTTGGAGCCAGGCCATCAGCTGCTTTGGAACTGACTCATTGACTCATTGTCTCTGATGTGCCTCAGAGTTACAGTGATAAGTGTGATTCTACTGGAAGGAATTTTGTCCATGTCTGGACTCACAGAGCAGCACTTATGACTTTGCCTATGGAAACCAAACTATATTGTGAACTTCTCTCCTCTGGCAGTTTGGTGGTTACCTGGAGTCCTTGACTTTCATTAGCAGCTGTGGCCAGTGGCAGGGAGATGTTCCTACTTCTAGGACACTCACCTGTGAGTCCCAGAAGTAGGGTCAGCAGTAGGATACTCTGCGGAATGTGGGGCCAAGCACCCAGGTGGAGCATGGTGAGAGTGAAGCAGCTTGCTCAGTGCAGTGTCTGTGCTGGTGAGATCCCCGGATCTGATCTGCAGAGAAAAACAGTGCTGTGGCTTATCCTGCCTAAAGAACATGTCAGTGATATGATGAAACAGGAAACATACTGATTATTTTGAAATAGAGACACAGTGTTACAGGCAGCTACAAGGGAGAGGGACTCAGATATGCACAGGAAAAAAATAATCCTTTCTCTTCTCTGGAACCTATATTAGATCCACTTGGTCTCAAGACTTCTTATCGCAGTAACTCATCAATTGGAATCCAGGACACAACCATGTTTTATAACACACTTAAGTTTAAGACCCCAGAGATTATTACGTTGCAGCCTATCCTGTCCCAGCCTCATCTAAGTGTTCTCAGTTAAGCCCATATGATGTGTATAAAAACAGCTCAGTGCTGGAGTAAATCAGCTGTCCTATTGGAATGACCCCTTGGGAGT